GTTAACTTTTTGGTCATTAGTTTCATTAATATTCGCAAACAATGTTAATGATCATCTATAATGATCATAACCTAAGGTGAAGGTATGGAGTGAATGGAATGTTCTCACTTCTAAGTTTGGGAAAAATAATTATGAAAGATACCTGCCTTTCTTACTATTTGTTGTTTTATTTGTTGTCAGATACACTTTTCTGTTTCTAACCAGTAAAGAAAGTCTTAAAGTCGGGCGGGCCGACTTTATGTTACCCTACACCACTTTGCTAATTTAGTAGAGTTCCGAATAATAATTAAAAGTTTTTATGAAAGAATTCAATCATACACGCTATGATTATAATTATAATTTAAAGTTCAAAAGACTAAATATACCGAAGCATTTGCATCTTTTGAATTCGAACTTGTATTGCCTATTTGGTGCACAATTAATTTGAAATCGGGTAAAGATATTTATGGGAGCTATATCCAAATCGGAACCGATCTCGATAAATTTTGGCAAATATATTTCTGAGCTGAATTTTATATATTTTCCTGAATATCGTTGTTACGGAGTGCATATTACGGCTGTATGTGACAAATATAACAAATCGGATGAACAGTATATATGGAAGCTATAGCTATATCTGAACCGATCTTCACCAAATTTGACATACTATCTTCTCGATTAAATTCGGTTATTGCCAAATTCCATCCCATTTGGGCAAATATTAGACGTCTGGTGCATAAAAGATAAATCGGACGAAGTTATATATGGGAGCTATATCCAAATCTAAACCGATCTCGATAAAATTTAGCAAAGGTATTTCTGAGATGTATTTGATATATTTTCCCAAATATTGTTGTTATAGAGTGCATATTACGGCTGCGGAGGAAAAAAATAACAAATCGGATGAATAATATATATGGGAGCTATAGCTATATCCGAAACGATCTTAACCAAATTTGACATACTAGCTTCTAGACTCAATTCGGTCGTAAGTTCCAAATTCCATCCCATTTGGGCAAGAATTAGACGTTTGGCGCACAATAAAAAATAAATCGGACGAAGTTATATATGGGAGCTATATCTAAATCTAAACCGATCTCGATCAAATATGGCATACTTATGTTCAGGCCTAATTTGGTTGTATGTGCAAAATTCCATACTATTCGGCCTAATGTTACACGTTTGGTGTACAATAAAAGGAAAATCGGACGAAGATATATATGGGAGCTATATCTAAATTTTGACCGATTATCCAATTTCAATATGGTTCGTCCTTGGGCCAAACAAATGATTTATGCAAAATTTCATCTGGATCGGACAATAAATGCGAACTGTACCTTGCTTACAAAAATACATGGACAGACGGACGGACATGCATAAATCGACTCAGAATGTGATTCTATGCAGATCATCAAAAGGAACTATGGATCTATCTCCGTCCTTTTGCCTGTGGCAAACAAATGTACAAAGACATAATACCCTGACCACCTTGTGGTGTATGGTATAAAATGTACATCTCTTTCATAGCAACCATATACAAATTACCAACAGTGTAGGTGTAAATATGATAGAATTACAACGACTTGAATGTTAACAATACAGTGCGACTATTGTGTAATGAAATCTGATACGTAATTGCTGGAAAACCCAAACAATAAAACAGTTACATATTTGACATTCTATTGTTAAGATTTTCGTAGTTTGTTTTTTTTTCTTTTCAAAAATCATTAATATACGTGCATTGGGGTTACGCATAGTGTTTCGTATCCAAATTGCATCAGTTCTCCATCCATCCATCAGTCGCAAAATGAGTAGACAAACTCAAGTAATGCTTACTTACCATTCATTGTCTTTTACTCTCCCACCTGCCAGCCGGCATGGCTGGTGTAAAAATTCAGCGGTAATAAAGTTACATGTCTCTGTGTAAAGTAACGTAATTATTTTATATAAAGGAATTAAGAAACATTATTATTTTAAACAATAAAAAACTTATTTGGACAGTAGTGGGATAATTTCAATCAAGTTAATGGATTTTTAAGTTTATTTCTTTATAACAGATTTTGAAGATTGTTATGTAAATTATTCGATTTAAAGGAAAGACTATATTTAGGTTGAACAACTTCTAAAAGATAAACTATTAAATACTTTTTTAGCGCTAAACAAACATTTTCACGCTTGATCTTAAACAATATTAGATGAAGTGTAAAAATGGAATATATCGGTCCACCCATTCTGTTACCCCATCATAATCAATAGTCATGTAAGATGGAAATAGTCGTTTTTTGTACAAACATTTTTTAGAAATCCTGGAATAATCTTTCAACAGTATTACTTAAAAATTCACTAGAGTAGCCTAATAATCCCTAAAAAAAATATACAAAATTATTTGTCATAAAATTCTACTGGTACTAAAAGGTCTAAATCTTACCTAAAAGCAAGGAATTCAGAAATGTTCAAACACATTTGTGGAAAAATCTGTAACAAAACATAATAAGATGACGTCAAAGGCAAAAATATGTTCACAAAAAAAAAAAGTGAATATTCCCCAAATTTTTATAAATTTTTCCCTCAGAAAATGCGTTTTAGGTGGAGTGTATCAAAAGAAAAACCAGTAAGGAAAAGTCAAATGTCGGTCGGGGCTGACTATATGATACCCTACACCACAATACATATTTAGTAGAGCTCCCGTAACAAAAGAATTTATTTTAAATATATCATACCACCTATCAACATTTGGCTTTAGAGCAGTTTTAGCTTGCTGTAGAGTGCATGATATCACTTGGAGAAGGTTTATATAAAATATATATATACATATATCGGAGCTGAGTTGTTCAAAATACAAACGTACGTCCCGAAATTCACTCTATTTGGGATGATATTAGCCACTACTTGCACAATAACCTTGAAATCGGATTAAGGATATATCCAAATCTAAGCCTTTCTCCATAAAATTTGTTAAAGGTATTTCCGAGCCTTATAAGATGTCTGGTACCAAATATCATTGTTGTCGAATGCATATTACGGATGTGAGGATGAAATAATGTATGGGAGCTATAGCTATATTTTAACCGATTTTCTCCAAATTCGATGTACTTGCTTCTGGACTGAATTCGGTCGGATGTACCAAAATTTAGGACTTTTGGAATAATATTCGCCATTTGGTGCACAATACAATTGAAATAGGTTGGATATATATTCAAATCTGAACCGATCTTGATAAAATTTGGCAGAGGTATTTCTGGGGTGTATCTGATAACTTGTACCAAATATCATTGTTGTCGAATGCATATTACGAATGTTAGGGACTTAAACACCAAATCAGATGAAACATACATATGTGAGCTATACCTATATATGAACTCATTTTAACCTAATTTAATATATTTGCTTCTAGACTGAATTTACTTGCTTCTAGACTGACTCGGATATGCTAAAATTCAGGTCATTTGGACTGATATTTGCTAGCAACCCGAATCGGTTGAGGATATATATGGGAGCTATATCCAAATCTGAACGGATCTTGACAATATTTGATAACTTATTTCAGAGCTGTATCTGATATCTGGTACCAAAGATCATTGTTTTGGAATCGTACCAAATCGGATAAAACATATATATGGGAGCTAAAGCTATATCTGAAACGATTTACACCAAATTTGAAGTACTGGTTTATAGGATGAATTCAGTCGTAATTGCCATTCGGGCTGATTTTAGACATTAAGTGCACAACAAACCTTATTTTGGATAAAGACATATATATGGGAGCTATATTTTAATCTGATCCGATCTCGACAGAATTTGACGGAGGTATTTTCGAGTAGTATCTGATATCCGGTACCAAATATCATTCTTCTGGAGTGAATATTGCACATTTGAGGGACTTAAGATCCCAAATCGGATGAAATTTTAACCGATTTTCACCAATTTCAATAGGGTTCGTCCTTGGGTCAAGCAAATCTTGTTTGTAAAATTTCATCTCAATCGGATATTAAATGAGACCTGCATTATGTGCTCAAAAATACGTGGACGGACGGACTGATATGCATAAGTCGATTCAGAAAGTGATTCTATCTTCATAGTGATTCTATCTTCAAAAGTAACTATAATACCCAAAGACATAATACCCTTGTGGTGTTCGGTTACCCCACTTTTTGGTATAGGTGAATCCCGGGGAATAGGTAAACACCGATTTCAAGTATTTTTACAATTTATATTTTTCACTAAAATTCGCCAAATGTCGGTATTTTGAGTTGATATTATACAGAAATCCTACAAAAAATCAATATAAGTCCACGAATTATATGTGATTGATTGTATACTACTCTGTAAAATTTCAGTATAGGTCCATATTTCGGACTAATATTTCCCATAAATATGATCCTCCAGATGTATGTTATTTGGAGGGTCTTGGCCATTTCCATTTCTTCCGGAGTATACATTTCGATAAGCCTCTTAAAAGCGATACAACCCAAGTTCACGTTCCCTACCTATTTTGAATGGTATGGTAAAAGTACTTGACCAGAAGAGCAGTATTCCTAAAATAGATTTGAATTCGAATACCAATTTTTAATGTCGTGATCGTTTCTAAATATGGGTATATGTTTGGAGTCCTTTATATAATTCTTATATGAACTATTCTCCGTCGGAATCGTTTTTTGCTTCTACACCCTAAGAAAACAAAATACAAATTTCAAACCAAATCGTTTGGAAAAAATCAAGGTGTATACATCAGCTACAACAACTAACATTTTACAAAAACAACATTGTTGTTATAGGAAGTATAAAGTCGTTCTGGTAATTAATTCGGATAGGAGAATAAAAACAAATACGTAATAACAAAACATTTTGTTTAATAAAATATTGTCGACAAAGAGATTCTGAAAATATACATTTTTTTGGCGATAGTTTTTCTAAAGGGTGTGCAATTATTGTACTTCTGTTTTTTGGCCACTGTTAAAGTAATATCTGAAACCGTTTTATATTTTTCACTGACTAATTCATGTCTTTTTCTGCAATTCCAGCTCCAAGAGGCGGCCTTTTCTCTCTACCCAATGAATACAATATTTTCTCACCGGAATTTTGGAGTTTCCTCAATCCTACAACTCGAGCCACACATCGCCCAACATCCTCAGCAAGAACTGCTCCCTCGAGTACCAAAAAACCACCCAAGAAGTACATACCACCCCAACAAAGCTCGGGAAAAGAAGAAAAACTAAAAATTAAACCAACATATCCAACAACAACAACAATACAAACAACCACAAAATCGATTCCCGAAACTACCATCAATGTGACACCCACATCCACGCGTAAAGATGAAGGTCCTTTTCGCATAGCTTTACCTACCTTCAATATTCTTGGCGCAAGAAAAGAATCAAATTCCGAAACAGACAAAGACAAACGCAATGTCGAAGACAGCAGTAGCGCCGACCTGCGAGCCAAATTCAATTGCCCCCGCGAGAGTGAGGTACGCTTTCAATTATTTCCAAAAATTTGCAAAATAGATGACGACTGTGCCGTCTGGAATCGTGGCGAAATATGCTGTGAAATATTCGGTGCCAAGAGTTGTGTATCCGGTATACCCAAACCCCTGGAAGAGACACCGCATTCACGTAAGTTGGTGAATGAGTTAAGTGCCCTGATCAAGTCTCTAATTGAAAACCATTAAACGATTTAATTAAAGCAATACTGGGTCTGATACCGCGCAAGTGTCCCGACCGGCCGCTGGCGGAATTATGGTGGGAGGTGAAGGAATGTGAAACAGATATGGATTGTTGGCCACGTGTGTGTTGTCCAGATGGCAGGAGACGCTATTGTCGTACATCGCAGCCGGAGTTGAATACGGTGCCGGTACCGGTGCAGAGGTCTTTCAATTATTGTGAGTATAAAGGAAGCTAAGGTTTTCCAATGGGGAAGTCAAGTGCGATTTGACCCGTTGTGTATTGTTTCTGGAGAATGAAGGAAGAAAAAAAATAAGGAAACAGTAATAATTTTAACCTGTTATTGCAGTGACTGAATATTTGGAATGTACCGCTCCACCACCACCCATATTCGATTTGCATCCAAAAGCGTGTACTTCAACGCTGGACTGTTTCCCGAATGTCTGCTGCCAAGAAGCTGGGCTGCGTCACTGTAGACCACCGAAAAAATCTGTTCTCACCATGCTGGCCAATGTCTTCAATGTCGACTTAGTTAAACGTCTAACACAAAATATTGTTATTAAATAATATGGCTGTGTAATATACTCCTAATATTTAATTTAAATATTTCATACATATGTGGAAAGACCCATATAGACTTATAAGCTCCTATCGTTTCAACTACTTAGTTTTCTTGAGTGTATCCATAAAAAAAGCGTCACTACTCATATTTTCTTTATTTTGTTAGTCTTCGACGACACTCTTTTTTGTTTGTAAATATTTATTGTTCAATCTTCTTTTGTTGTAGTACGCCTTATCTTGCCCATTATTATTGTTACTATTATTCTTTTTCTATTACGTTGTAGTTTTTTTTCTTGTATATAGTTAGAGTTTTAGTGATACAAGTTTTTGATGAACAATCTTTGTTATTGTAATTGTAAGACATTTTTATTTGTAAAAAAATACATTTCATAATTCATTACGTTTTCTTTTACTGTTATTGATTATAGAATAAAAAATAAATTAAATATATTCTAAAATTATTATAAACAAGTTAAAAAGTATCAGTTGGTTTTGCCGACAGATGTATACTCTCAGTCAATTTTAGATTATTTAAGTATATTTTGACTTCTGTTTTGATCGTTCAAATTTATGGCGTAGGTTCCGAAGGAATAGCCCAATATTGAGAATATCGTATCGGACCTAAATAAATATGATATAAATATTGCGACGTGTCAGGTTTGGACTATATTGGTTACTTCCTTCAGATTATATGAGGTATGTGATCGTTTTTAAATAAAGTTGAAATGTGTGTGAGTTAGAAGATAGAGTCAAATGAAGTATCAAGATAAAACAGATAAAAATATTGGTATGGGCAAAATTACAAGAAAATCGAAAATGTATATCCAATTTTGTGGGAAATCATAAATTTCACATTCATCTCAGTTTTCTGCTATATTTAGATATAGCAAGATGTAAAGAATATCTGACTTGTTACGCAAATTATGACAGATAAAAGTATTGAAAATTGTGAAACTTTGAGGGTGAAGTACCAGAAGGCGTTTGCAGATTTTGTGTTAGCAAAAATATTTGTGTGTGTGAAATTTGAAGAAAGTTGGATGCTTATTTCGCTTTCTTTAAGCGTTTTGTTTTAAAAATCTTGAACCCTATGTGGGACAGATAGCAAAAGAAATGGTCCGATCTCTACTATCTTTATAACAGATCTTATGTTGATGGAAATATTGTGATGTACCAAGTCTTGAATGGAATCGGATGTTAATTTATAAGCAGTTTATAAGCTTCATGGATATTCAAAAATTCAGCCTTTGTAGGGTAGATACCAGAAGGAGAGGACGATATATCCCATCTCCACAACATATCTTTTGTTAGCGGAAATAATGGGATGTGTGAAATTTAAAGAGAATCTGATGCATATTTCGGATTGTATAAACGTTTTGGTTATTCAAAACTTTGACCCTTTGTGGGGAAGGTACCAGAAGAAATGATCCGATCTCTACCGTTTTTATAACAGATTCTGTGTTGATAGAAATATTCAGATATGCCAAGCTTAAATGGAATCGGATAGCTCAATGGATATTCAAAATTTCGACCTTTTGTGGGGAAGGTACTAGAAGGAGTGGACCTATATATTCCTCGTTAACACCAGATCTTGGGTTTATACAAATATTGGGATGTGTGAAATTTTAAGACAATCGGATTCTTACATCACATTTTATACGAATTGTAATTATTCAAAATTTTGACAATTTGTGGGGGAGTGGACCGATATAGTTCATTTTCGCACTTGACCTAGCACTGATGAAAATATTAGGACTTGCAAAGTTGGGTTATCGGACTCGGATTATCGTTTCTCTTTCTGTGCAAAAAATATTTTTTAAAAGTTTCGTCCTTCGTGTGGAGGGGCACCAGAAGGAGTGGACCGATACATTCCATTTTCACACCAGACCTTGGGTTAATAAAATTATTGGGATGTGGGGAATTTTAAGACAATCGGACTCTCTTTTGGAGTGGACCGGTATTGTTCATTTTCGCACTTGACCTACCACTGATGAAAATATTAGGATTCGCAAAGTTTGAGCAAAATCGGATTATCCTTTCTCTTTCTGTGCAATAAATTATTTTCTTTGGAAATTTTTACATTTTGTGTGGGAGGTACTAGAAGGAGTGGACCGACATTTCCCATCTCCGAACTCGATCTAAGTTTGAGAATAATATTACGATTTACCAACTTTGGATCAAATCGAATACTCCCTTCGAGAGATATCGTGGACGGACGGGCGGACATCGCTAGGTCGACTCCAAATGTCCTCATACGGATTTGGTCCAAACAGACCTAGGGCCTAAAACCGTTATTTCGATGAGACAATTTTGGCTTATGAGACTTATGGCTGAGGTTATAAAAACACGACTCTCGTTGATAACACCCCATAAAGCATTACATTCCGTTCGTCTAACCGTCTATAAAAATCATTTTAGCTTCCCAACGCAATTATGTAATTTTATAAAATTTCACTCAAATGCATTTAAGGTCCGTAGAAATTTTGGAAGTTTTAATTATATTTTTAAACCGAATTGGCTGTATATTGGCAGTTTGTGTTCCAGTGTGTAGGGAATATCTTTGCAGAGTACTCTCCATATTGTACCAAGTTTTCGTACAGCCCCCATAGAACTGTATTTTATTTTTGTATTTTTGTATTTTTGTCAAAGAATTGCCTGCACTGAGCCACGTTTTCGTGTAGCCTCCATTTACTGTACCACCCGATATTCGGAAGTTTAACAAATTTAGCGGTATTTTTATACCCTCCACCGTATGTCCTCCATATCCCTAAATATTCGTCGTAGACCCAATAAACTATATATATATATATATATATATATATATATATATATATATATATATATATATATATATTCGGCATAAAATTTTAAGTCGATTATTTTGGTATTTTGATGATTTTTGCCACATCGTTCCACGGATTTGTCAAAAAATTGGTTTTTGTAGATAATTCAAGCTCCGGTGGCGAAACATTTTATGTATAGGTCTACGTTTTTGTTTAGCCCCCATATAGCTCTACTTCCCAATATTCGGTAATTTGACGATTTTTGACACATTTTTCCAGAGATTTGTCTAAAAATTGGTATTTGTAGTTCAAAATGAGTTCTAGCTTCGGAGGCGAAAATTATATGTATAAGTCCACGTTTTGGTGTAGCCCCCATATTATGGTACCTACCAATATTCGGTAATTTGATGATTTTTGCCACATTTTCTCACGGATTTGTCCAAAAATTGTTTTTTGTAGTTCGTTATGGGTTCTAGCTGTACCCTCATAATGGTACCTCCGAATATTCAGGGTTTTGATCATTTTTTGCAACATTTTCCCATAGATTTGTCTAAAACTTAGTATTGTATGGCCTCATGTGACGGCCGCACCCACTTTATGGTTTTTTGAAAAGTTTAACAGTATCATCCAAACGGTCTTACTGGTATTTGTAGTTTAAAGTGGAACACGTTTGAATTGAGATATTTTTATATAAAAATGTTTTCTTTTTTCGAACTTAGCTGCTTTTTTACTTGTTAATTAATGCATAACTTATTGTGGCCACACTCGTCTGTAATTTGTTTAATACAGATGAGCAAAGTTCAGTAACCCTTTCAATTTGCTTCGATGTCAGCAAGATTTTCAGTACCAGCAGTGTGTTGGCTGTGTTGATATTTTGACAAATACATTTTTTTTTAATTTTTAAAAATATTTTTTTTTGTATTTTATATAAATAAGATGTATAAATAATTACATTGAATTTTGAAGAGAAAGAAAACAAATTTTGAAATGCTTTAACTTAAATTACATATAATTCGATCTCAGATTTAATGAGAAGAGATATACTAAATTTAATGGAAGAATTACAGTGAATACAGGCTAATGGCTTGATAGGAGAATCCATATTCAGTTCTTGGACTCCTTACTTGCCGCAGCTACCCTTATCACAGCTGCTACCGCATTTGCAGGATGAACCGCAACCACAGCTACCGGAAGATTGGGTTTGAGAAGCGCATTTGCAACCTGTTTTCAGGGAAAAAATGAAGGAAGAAAGGAAGAAATAATTAGTATGTTTATTTAAAATAAAATTATAAGAAGAAAACTGCGTTTGCAACTCACACCTTAAGATACTACTGAAGACCACGCATATAAACACATTTTATAAATGAAAAAAAAAAGGATATAAAAAAAAACTTTTTAAAAACACATAACCAGTTTTCTTATATAAAATACATTCATATAAGAAAAAAAACACATATAAAAGAGTAAAATTGACAGTTTTTAGGGAGTTTCGTTGATGTGTGATCTACTGTAGTAGTTAATTTTTCACTGGATCTTCAAAATCGAAAATAATTCTCAAATTCTCAACAAAAACTAGATTTTTCATTTGAGTAATTTTTTATTTGTAATAAAATTATAAAATATGTAGACATTATTTGTTTTATTGTCTTCAATATACTGGACGGGACCACCGATTTTAGTCACAAATTAGTTAAAAACAATTAACTCATCTAATATTCAGTTCCAATTTAATTGCCACATTCAGCAAAAAATTAAAACCGACAACTATGGATTTTTTAAATCCGATCCAAATGGTATTTTGTAGCAATGAATATTTTACACATTTTCTTTAATTATCCTTTACATAATGAATGTTTCCTCAAAATGTCACAAACGAATCACTTAACCAAATATTCCTTTTTGAGAAAATAAATTCAAACACTTTGAAAAAAATCAATAAAAAAATTGGCACAATTGATACAAATTATTTTTAATTTAAATTTTCTCTCTCTCACGATGTATTGGCGTTATCACTGCGTATTAGGCTAGATCGGGGGTGTTACAGTACTTACCAGTTCCACAGGGGCAAGGCATGTTGATTATTTTGTTTTGTTTCTGTTTTTAGATTAAAAGATGCACGAAAGCGTTATTTTTATCAACTTTTGTAGTTGTGTTATGTTTAGCCGACTGTTAGCTGACTGATGACCGGTAGGTGCAATGCATGCGGTTTTATAGATATGAAATTCGGTACTTTTCTTCGTTGTGCTTCTTCTTGAATATGCTCTCCGCACCACAGAGCAATACGTTTCGTGTGCACATTCATGTTGTTGTTTAAGCTGAGTAGTGCGGTGTGCACACCTCAGCACAAAAAAGAGAGTGAATGTATATACGTACGTACGTACCTATACACACGTAGCTAATTGAATGAAAGTAGGTATCTTTGGGTACGTAAGCACAATGGGTTGAATAGAATGTGATATTTTTTTCGGGGGAGAAATAACACAAACTTGTAATTACACGATTAATGTTGATCTGATTGACATATCTTTTGATAAAATATTACACAAAAGTGTAGTTTTCTTAGATATGACAATAAAAGTTCTCAAATTCTTACATGATGTTAGGAAATGTTTTTTGGTATATTGGTGCACACGCATGTCAGGCCCATAACATAAGGGTTAAAGATGTTTGACCAAACTTTGTAAAGATCATGTGATATGTTATATTTTGACGGTTTTTGACTTTTGAAATATATTTTGTAATGATCAATTTCTTTTTATATCCTCCTTCGCTTGTAATGCTTCAAAATACACAGTGTAGAGAAGTGCCCAAAATCAACAATTTAAGAGTTAAATAGTATAGCCTGACGTTGTATATTAAAAATGAGGACATCTTTCGCTTTTTCTCTTCATTATACCCTACACCACAAGGTGGTCAGGGTATTATGTCTTTGTGCATTTGTTTGTAACAGGCAAAAGGAAACGAGATAAACCCATAGTTCCTTCTGACGATCTGCATAGGATCACATTCTGAGTCGATTTATGCATGTCCGTCCGTCTGTCCATGCATTTTTGTAAACAAAGTACAGTTCGCATTTATTGCCCTATCCAGATGAAATTTTGCACAAATCATTTGTTCGGCCCAAGGACGAACCCTATTGAAATTGGAGATAATCGGTCAAAATTAGTTATAGCTCCCATATATATCTTCGTTCGATTTGACTTTTATTGTGCACCAAACGTGTAATATCAGTCCGAATAGTATGAAATTTTGCACGTACGATCAAATTGCAAATATGTATGCCAAATTTGATCGTAATCGGTTCAGATATAGCTATAGCTCCCATATATATTGTTCATCCGATTTTTATTTTTGTCCTCCGCAGCCGTAATATGCACTCTGTAACAACGGTATCTGGGGAAATATATCAAATACAGCTCAGAAATACATTTGCTAAATTTTATCGAGATCGGTTCAGATTTGGATATAGCTCCCATATATACTGTTCATCCGATTTGTTATATTTGTTACCCACATCTGTAATATGCACTCCGTAACAACGATATTCATGGAAATATATCAAATACAGCTCAGAAATATCTTTGCCAAATTTTATCGAGATCGGTTCCGATTTGGATTTAGCTCCCATATATATTTTTATCTGATTCAAATTAATTTTGCTCCAAATGGGCAATACAAGTCCGAATTTAAAATATACAAATGCTTCGGCATATTTAGTCCTTTGAACTTTAAATTATAATTATAATCATAGCGTGTATGATTGAATTCTCCCATAGAAACTTTTAATTGTTATGTGGAGTTCTACTAAATTAGCAAAGTGGTGTAGGGTATCAAAAAGTCGGCCCCGCCCGACTTTAAGACTTTCTTTACTGGTTTTGAAAATGCTGAAATGTATATTATTTTACAGCAAAAAATTAGGAATATTAAAACAACAAGTTACAAGTTATCTGTCCGTTTTGCCGACAGATGAATACTCTCAACCACTGTTCGTTTATTATACCATCAGCCATATGGCTACAGAGGGTATACAGGGTGAGATGGAAAAACTGCAACCACCTTCAGACATTAATTTCTAAGCCACTCGTCCGACAGCTGTTAAAATGATCCCAGTGACAGCCCATTATATTGCTTACAAGCGTACAAAAGCATTTTGGTGAGAATTTTCCAGAAAAAAAGTCACGAGATGGGATTTAAGCGTGATAGTACGATTTCTTTATATTTGGCTGGAAAACCGCAAGTGCCTATCGTTAGAGCACTCCAGCATTTAAATGTGAATAAATCTTTTGTGTCTCGCTTGGCCGAAAGTGGTGAAATGCCGAATTTGGTTTTCTCCGATGACAAAACATTCGTTGTTCAGCAGTTTGTAAAAAAACAAAATGATCGAGTTTTCTTGCCATAGAGGTCAGCTGAAAATGTGCACCTTTGGTTGGCCACCAGAACTCAAGCGCCGGCCATGGTGTTGGTGTGAACCGCCATCAGAATAAATGCCGAATATTGTCGCGAAAATATTCTGGAGGGTGTATTAAAGCCTTGGGCACGAAAACATTTTGGCCGCAGGCCTTGGAGATTCCCACAGGACTCAGCACCGTCGCACTCAGCACGCGCCACTTAAGAATGGTTATAAAATTAGGTTCCTCGCTTCATTTCTAGTGAACAATGACCACAAAAAACTCCGGATACCAATCCATTGGACTATTGTGTCTGGAGTATTTTGGAAAGCAAGCAAGCGCATCGCCGGGAATGGGCCAAAATACCGCAGAGCAACATTCGGGCAGCGTGTGACGGTTTCATTGACAGTTTGAAGGCCACAATTCGTGCCAAAGATGACCAATTCGAACAAATCTAAACTTATTCGAAAGTTTGATGCTATTTCCGACATTTGTTGCTTTCATTCAATAAACTTTTTTTTAAAAAAGAAGGAAAAATTGTGGCATTTGACTTTTTTTGCAGTTCTCTCTATCTCACCCTGTATAATAATTACTTTTATAAATTTTTGAATTTATTTTTTTTTAATCCAACAAATAGTCGTATATAAAATTTTCAATGCAAAACAAAAAATTAACAGGGGTAGAGAAGCGCACGGGGTTCAGCTAGTTTTTCTATACAGATAATTATTTTCTTTAGAAGTGTTGACCTTTTGTGAAGGAGATAGCAGAAGGAGCGGTCCTATATTGCCCATCTCCGATCTAGTGCTAAGTTTGACGGCTAGCCAGACAGATGAACGGACTCCCCTAGATCGACTCAAAATGTCCGGAAACAAATTTGGTCCAAAGAGACAAAGGCTCTAAAAGCGTTATTACGATGAGGCACGTTTTGGCCTTATAAAATGATGTATACCCTCTGTACCCATACGGCAGATATTAAAACAAAACACAACCCAATATTTTGCAGGTATTATGAGTTTTATTCAGCCAAAAAGTTTGTAACCCAACGAAATATTGGTACCAGACCCATGATGTTGGGTATGGATCTTCCTATCTCGACGAGTTGAGTTGATCAGGCTATGGGTGTCCGCCCGTCTACAGGGTCTGAACGAAAGCCTATAGTTTTTGGAGATGATCGATATAGCCCTCATTTAACGGAACTTTATAATTACTCACGGGATTTTGAGGAAAACAAGTTTTCTCGTGGTGGAGGATATAAGCAAATACGGTACATATCGTAAATTTTACCCCCTGGTAAACATTACCATCTTTCTTCACTAAAAAAACAAACGTTGTTTTTATAAAAACAACATTAATGGGATTAAACCTGGCCACCTTCGTCTGTAATTTGTTAACTTCAGCGAAGTTCATTAACCCTTTTAATTTTCTTAAATCTCAGCAAAATCAATGCCAGTGCTGGGTTAGTTGTTTTGATATTTTCGCAAAGGTGAAACCAAAGAAACACATCAAAAGTTTTTTTTTTTTTAAATTGTTAAAAAAAATGTTTGTTTTATTTTATAAAAATAAATTGTAAACAAATTACATTGACGTTTAAAGAGAAAGATAACAAATTTTGAATTTTTTTAACCTAATTTACAAATTACATATAATTCGATCTCAGACTTTTTGAGAAGATATATACTAAATTTAATGGAAGAATTACAGGGAATGCGGTGCTAATGACTTGAAAGGACAATATCAAGTTCTTAGACTCCTTACTTGCCGCACCTACTCTTGCCACAGCTGCTACCGCATTTGCAGGAGGAACCGCAACCGCAGCTACCGGTAGATTGGGTTTGAGAAGCGCATTTGCAACCTGTTGTTAAGAAAAAGGGAGAAGGAAGAGAGGAAAAAATGATTAGTATGTTGGTTTAAAATAAAATTATGAGAAGAAAACTGAGGCGTGAGTTGCAAATTAAAATACTACTGCAGACCACGCATATAAGCACATTATATTTACTAGTAATTTTTAAGTTTTAATAAAATTATTATTATTATTTGTTTTATTGTCTTCAATATATTTTTCAATATATAATCGGTGGTCCTGACTTCAGTTACAAATTAGTTTAAAAAAATTAACTTATCTAATATTCAGTTCCAATTTAATTGTCACATTTAAACCGAAGACTATGGATTTTTAAAATCCGGTCCACATAGTATTTTATAGCAATGAATAGTTTACAAATTTTTATCCTTTACATAATGAATATTTCCTTAAGATGTATCAAACGATTCACTTAACCGAACATTACTTTTCGAGAAAATAAATTCAAACACTTTGAAAGAAAAATAATAATTAAAAGACGAACAGCCAATTGGCACAATTGATACAAATTACTTTACATTTAAATGCTCTCTCTCACGACGTTATCACTGCGTATTAGGTTAGATCGAGGGTGTTACAGTACTTACCAGTTCCACAGGGGCAAGGCATGTTGATTATTTTGTTTTGTTTCTGTTTTTATCAACTTTTGTAGTTGTGTTATGTTTAGCCGACTGTTAGCTGACTGATGACCGGTAGGTGCAGTGCATGCGGTTTTATAGATATGAAATTCGGTACTTTTCTTCGTTGTATTTCTTCTTGAATATGCTCTCCGCACCACAGAGCAATACGTTTCGTGTGCACATTCATGTTGTTGTTTAAGCTGAGTAGTGCGGTGTGCACACCTCAGCACAAAAATAAAGAGACTGAAGGTACATACGTACGTACGTAACTATACACACGTAGCTAATTGAATGAAAGTGGGTATCTATTGGGTACGTAGGCACAATGGGTTGAATAGAATGCAAGATTTTTTTTTCGGGGGAGAAATAATAATAGCTTGAAGTACATAAGGTAGTATAAGTGTGTTCTTACATGATTAATCTTAATCTGATTGACATATCTTTTGATAAAATATTACACAAAAGTGTAAATTTATTTGATATGAGAATAAAAGTTCTAAAAGTCTTACATGATGTTAGGAAATTTTTTTGGTGTATTGGTGACGTGTGCACTGTCAGGCCAATTAGATAAGGTTAAGATGTTTGACCAAACTTTGTAAAGATCATGTGGTCGGTGATATATGACCGGTTTTTTGACTTTTGAAGTATTTTTTTAATGCGCAATTTCTTGTTATATTCTACGCCATACTATGAAGGGTATTTTAACCGTTTGCAACGCCTCAAACTACTCATTTTAGACCTCATAATGTATATCCATATATATTCTGGATGAGCATAAAATCCTATGTCTGTCTGTCGAAATCACGCCTTCAAACGAATTCAAATAGAAGGCAACCTTATTGTGATATATGAATTTTGTCAGTAGGCAGCCTAATTCGAAAATGGTCCATATTGTACCATGTTTTAGCATTTATCAACATTTGTCAACGGATTTTCTTCAAATTTGACATTTAAAATTTACAAAGGGTTTTATCTCTTATGGCAGAACATTGTCTACAAAGATATGCGCTTTATTATAGCCCCGAAGAAGTGCCCATAAATTTAATAGCAGAAAAGTATACCCTGACCTAATATATATCACAAGTGATGGACTTTTTCGATTTTTCTCTTCACTTTTCAAATTGTTGAAAGGTATACTATTTTGCAGCAAAACAAATAAAAAAGCTGTAGGTTCGGCCGAGCCGAGCGAATTTGGCAATTTTCAAAAAAATAAAATCCGTTAAAAATTCTGTTAAAATCTTAAAAATACCAAATGTAGCCGTATTAGAGTCTAAACGACGACGTGGGCCAACTTTTGTTATAAGCCATTACAATACTGAAATGCGAAACTTGAAAAAAATTCGTGAATATGTGGACTATACCAAAATGTGGACCTGCACAGACAATTTTCTGAATTAGGCTGTAGTATTCATTACGAACTTCAAGCACCAAATTTTGAAACAATTCCTGTGAAAAAAGTCAAATCATCAGAATACCGAATAACGGGAGGTACTGTTATATGGGGACTATACAAAAACGTGGACCTACATGGCCCACTTTCAGTCTTGTAGAAATAATATACATTTCAGAAACATTTTATCAATCTACTTAATTTCGTTCAAAAGCAAGAGTGATATACACAGACGGATAGACGAACAGACGAACGGAAATCGCTAAATCGACATGGAATTTTATGCTGATCAAGAATATATATACTTTGTGGGGTCTAAAATTTATATTTCGACTTTGTATACAACGATACACCCGATATTCGCTATTTGAATGATATTAGCTACTTTTTTACAGGAATTGTTTCAAATTTGGTTATTAAAGTTTGTACTGAGTACTACAGCCTATGACAAAAAATTATATATGCAGGACTACGTCTTTGTATAGCCCCCATATAACGGGTTTTCTTTTGAGCGGCATTTTTCGACAGAATTTTTTTTTGGAAATTTTTCAAGTTCCTTGAAAATGGTGTAGGGTATTAAATCCGCTTGTTTTCTATTTTCAGCTTAACTTTTTGTTTAATACGGCACATGTGGGTCCAATTCTTCTGATGACTTATTCACTAAAGTTCAAAATTTTCTAAAACTCAAATTTCTTATCTCTCACAAACGAGAGTACACGATGTCACACATCCTCACAAAGGGACGCAATTTTAAATTAAAATTTCTCTGGGGATCTTTGATCTGATGATCTTTGAATTGCTTCAAACTTTAAGTTTAGTCTTCACGGTTTATAGCGCGGCACTCTTTTTGATATCTCCCTTCAATATGTATGTCCTCACTACATTGGTCTCGGAACTCAGGCGATCATAATATGAACCTTTTTTTAAAGTTCGTTCTTTTTCTCGATGGTGGTTTTCTATCGTTTATTGGCTTGGAAAAATTGGCAAATTATAAACTTTCAAAAGTAGTTTCGAAAGACATTTCTGGCTACGTCGGTGATCCAGAATATGTGGCAGAAATGTATCTTAATTTCGCCTTTACGAGAAAATGCGCTACAGTTTACACTTTTTAAAAAGGTTTTTTTGAAAGTATTTTTAAACGACGTTTGATAATCAAAATAAATACCTGAAAGAAAAAAAAAAGAAAATTAACAATTTGAAAATATCTTTAATTGCCTTACCTAGAACGTTATGGATACTTCAGTTGTTCCTGTTTTGCTATGTTTTGGTATTCCTTCTCTAAACTATTTGGTAGACATTTTTCCGTTAAAATTCAAAACATTGCTTTTGACCTTCTGTTCGATTGAAGAGTAAAATTATTAATGTTGTCTAAATATGCTTATCAATTTGAATATTACTGTGCCAAAAAGTTGCAGCCATTTATAAAAGATTGACATTTTGAATCCGCGTTAATTACAGTGGAAATCCTCTATGACGATCAATGGTGTTTAATTTATTTGTAATCTTTCAATAACATTGAAAGTGGCTTAAAAGTAACTTTCACAGAGACATCAATGATGAAACGTAAAAACCGTTTTAAATTCAGTCGAATGTTATCGCCGAAAATATTCTGGAGGGTGTATTTAAGCCCTGGGCACGCAAAAATTTTTGCCGCAGGCCTGGGACATTTTAACAGGACTCAGCACCATCGCACTCAGCACACGCCACCCAAGAATGGTTACAAAATTAGGTTCTTCGCTTCATTTCCAGCGCACAATGGCCACCAAAATCTCCAGAGACCATACCGTTGGACTATTGTGTATATTTTGGAAAGCAAGGTTGGCACTAAAAAATACCAAAGAGTCGAACACCTCAAGCGAGCGCTTCGCCGGGAATGGGCCGAAATACCGCGGAGCAACATTTGGGTTGCGTGTGACGGTTCCATTGGCCGTTTGAAGGCCATAATTCGCCCCAAAGGTGACCAATTCGAACAAATTTAAACTTATTCTAAAATTGGATGCTATTTTCGACATTTCTTGGTTTCAGTTAATAAAATTTTAAAAACAAGTGTAAAAATTATGGCGTTTGACTTTGTTGCGGTTTCATTTATCTCTCCCTGTATGTCAAACATAGCTCAGAAATACCTATGTTTGATCTGATTTTGTATTTTACTCCCTAACACCCGTAAAATACTCACCACAACAACGATATTTGGTGCCAACTATCTGATAAAACATAGAAATACCTCTGCCAAATTGTATAAAGATCGGTTTAGTTTTGGTTAAACTCCCAGATATGTCTTCATCCGGTTTCACAACACTTAAAAGAGCGAACGCCACATTTTCTCAATTTTAAAAGTATGTATATAATTTTATTTTTTAATTTGTCCATGATTAGCCCACTGTGTTCGTAAGACTGCATGTGTTGGATGATTAAAAAAAGTGTCATTAGTAAAATGCATTTGTGGAGAAGTGCGCAAATCTACCTTCCCAACAGGAAAAAATGTTTGTGCAAACATTCGGATATACTTTATTTATTAAGGTTTTAAATGACAACACGAAAAAAATAAAAAAAAAGTTATCAAATATTGATGACGCATTTAAGGTGAAATAACGTAGAAGTTTTTTTTTTGGCAAAAGTCTGTTTACCTGACTTAACAGATTATTAGTTTCAGGCAGTTGGGCAACAGTAGCTTAATAAAATTGCGTTTTAAAAATTGAAATTTTTTCAACAAAAACATAGGCCCTTAATACCTATTTTTTTATGTCATAGATAATATTTGAGTGATGAATACAATGTACATAGATATTCCAATTTTTGGGAACCGGTTCACTTCTAAAAAAGAAATTGTATAAATAGAAAAAGAAAGAAAATTGCGTTAGATAATGGCGTTCTGAAGTGAGAAGAGATTTAATTACTGGACTGTTGAGTTCATCATTTCATGTGTGTTCGATTTCGTTTGGTTACTAAATAACTGCAACAAAAAATATATATAATTTAGCTTTTACCTCTGAAAAATATTAAAATATTTCCCGATATAAGACTGAATTTTAAAAAATTCGTGCCAAAAGGTACTGAAAACTGTGTTTTAGGAACCTAAACTCTATACTCTACTTTTTCAAAATTTGTAGTCAATAGTGCTAAATATTATATTTGTATAATATTTGGTACATCGGAATTCATACATTTTGGCCACAAACCGAGTGCGTGGTACTAGTACGATTTAGATCTAAAATTTCGAAAATTTGTATGAGGACCACTTGTGTTATGGATATGGGCGAAAGGTCAGTTGGCATTGAAATTTCTAGTAAACTGTTGCTAATTGTACATTGTACTACAAATTATTAAAAAAGTTTCTCGGGGCTCAAATTCTGTACTTCTAGAGATAGAACCTCGAAAAAAGGCAGAAGATTTTAAAAGTTAATACTAGAGAGCACTGAAAAGTACTTATTACTGTACTCATTATGCAAGAATGTAGTTGTGTCTTGGGAAATGAAAATGTTCTGCAGAATTCGACATTAATCGATAAAGTATCCTTTGTGGAAGGAGCAGAGTTGTATGCAAATTTGATATTTAAGGTGTTTTTATACCCTCAGCCATATGGGTACAGAGGGTATATATCATTTGATACGGCCAAAACGGTTTTAGACCCTAGTTCTCTTTGGACAAAATACGTCTTAGGACATTTGGAGTCGATCTAGAGATGTCCATCCCTTTGGCTGGTACGAATGACAACTCTTGAAGGTAGTATCAGATTTAATCCAAACATGGTACACCGTAATATAATTGTCAAAATTAGATCGAGCTCAGATATAGAACACGAAAAAATCATCCGATTTTGTGCAAACTTTGCAAATCCCAATATTTGTATCAGATCTAGGTCAGTTGCGAATATGTATAATATCGGTCCACTCTAAGATATACCTCTCAAACAAAGGGTCAACATTTGGAATACTTATAACTCTTATAAAATGCGAAATAAGCATCCGATTCTCTTCAATTTTCGAAAGTCACAGTATTTCTACAAACAAAAGATCTGGAGTGAAGGTAGAATATCCACTTCTTTTGGTATCTCCCCCACAAAGGTTAAACACTTGGAATAATAAAATATCTTAAAATTTGCGAAGGAAGCACCATATTTCCTTCAAATTTTATAAATAAGAATATTTCTATCAACACTTAATCTAGTGTGAAGATGAAAGATATCAGACGGCTACTTTTGGTTCCTCCCCCACAACCGATCAAATTGTTGATAAATATAAAGCTCATAAAACGCGAAATCAGCATCCGATTATTTTCAAACTTGACACATCTCAATGTTTCTGCTAATACAAGGCCTGACGTAAAGATGGAATATAAAGGTCTACTCCTTCTGGTACCTCCCCCACAATGTGTCAAAATTTTGAACAACCTAAACGCTTATAAATGCGTAGTGAGCATCCGATTCCCTTCAAATTTCACACATCCCAATTTTTCTATTAACAGAAGATCTGGTGTGAAGATAATGAATATCGGCCCACCCCTTCTGATATTTCCCCACAAAGTTTCAATATTTATATTCCTTATCATCTGCGAAACAAGTCAGCGATTCTTTTAAAACTTAGTAACATCAGATCTGATACGAATATAGTATAGTACCTCCCCACAACATTTTTAATTTTGAGTTTATTTTAAGTTTATAGAGTTTATTTTTATTTTATTTATTTTAAGTTTATTCGCATAAACTTGGAAATATATGTTAGATGCTTATCCCAATATTTGTTTTCATTATTAGATGAAGTAGAGTACTTCAGTCCACTTTGGTTGGTACTTCACACATATTTTTTAATTTTCCAAAAATTATAACATTTATCATGTAAAGGCGAATGAAGTAGTCGAATCGTAGCCCAAACCTGGCACATTTGTATCAGACTTAGGTCAGATACGAAATGGACAACGTTGGCCCACTCCTTTGGATCCACCCCCATAAAGGGTCAAGAGTTTGAACAATCATAACGCAAGTCAGAATATATTTAAATAAACGAACGGTGACTGAGGGTATACATCTGTCGGCAGAACGAACTTTTTTTTCAAAATCCACTTGATTTTTTCAAAACAGTTTTTCTTCTGGTTTCATTTATAATTCCGCACTATTTTATATATGAAACTTTGAAAGTTAGAACGTAGGTCACTTTTTATGAAAGGAAATAAATTCGGAACTGTTTTTTTTTTTAATTCGTATGAAAAAGTACTCAAAAGTACTAAATATTGTACTGTTAGAGCTAGAATTCTGAAAATGTGTACATGGAATAGCTAGAATTATGAAATGTAACGAAAAAAAATCGTAGTCTTTGAAAAGCATACCAGTAGAAAACGATGGTTTAGAACAAGATTCATAAAATTTTGCATAAGGGTCATTTTAATTGTGAAGATATCGACAAAATCAGTATGGAAATTTGGAAAGAGTTTGCCAAAATTGGACTAAGCGGATGGACCATTAGCGTAGTAGCAGTCAAAATTTGCATGAAATAGTCTTCAATCATTAATATAAGTAGAACATCTATCAATTCATGCATTTTTTTACTTTTATGTGATATTTTTTTCTTGAAAAACGTGCCTTTATTCCTAAGTAACGGTTTCGAATTCCACAACACTATTCCCGTCTAGTCAAATAGTAGTAAACGAGTACACCATTGTCATGTCATATCTTCTATGGTTTCTTATTATTTTTTAGTTTACTTATCGTTTTTCTTGTTGTTTATTTAAGTTATAAACTTTTACTCAGCAATTGTTGTTCTTTCGATTACTTCTCTGATAAGATTGTCTCGAAGGTTCGTTTGTTGATTGATGGTGCGCAATTTGTGCACACAGATTTCTGTTGAGTGCCCGGCACTTTTTACGTTTTCTCTTCTCTTATTGCTTCGAAATTGTGTTGTGGGGTCTTTCTTTGGTTAAGGTTAATTGACTATTTCAGTACGCCACGAACCGTTGGATGGGAATTTTAGTTCAAAAGAATAGAAAAACATTGGAGAAGAAAACAATTTAGAGGAAAGTCAACGATGCTGGGGGAACTATGTGTATACTTCTGTTAAATTTCAATATTTAGTGTACTGGATATTTAATTTGATGTTATGACAGTGGAGTCATGTTTTTTCAACATACATTTTTTAATATAAAAAACAAAAATTCAAATCAAAGACATACAGTGGGGACCTGGTGCCCCGTTTGAAATGGTTACTTTTCCAACAATTTTAGCATATCTTACGTGGAAAAGTCAATTTTACTCTTGTCTGATGTAATTAAGAGGTGAAAATAAACCCCTCAAAATACCTGAAATTGGAAGGAAAAGAAGTTCCTTGAAAAAATTTTCGGAGAAGAGAATACAAATAGAATGTCATTTAATATCTCCACATACTATGATGGATGTTATAATAAGAATATAGACAATAATATGATATATTACATAACGTTACACTTACACATAACGCTGTATATGCTCGGTTCTAGAACCTGCAAGAATCTACTATTTTTTCGATATCATAATGGGAAAATCGCAATTCTGGAACAGACCTTTAATGTTGTCATTAAAAAAACGCTATTAGAATTAATAGAATTGTATTCAGGTTTCATTAATAGCCTAAATTACAAATTATTATACTATGCTCTAAATTATCAAAAAGCTTGGAAAGATGTCAATTTTAATACAAACGTTTGTGCCAGAAAATTTTAAATTAAATTTATAATAACAACCGACTATGACATTTTTATAAATATAAATTCGATAGAACATAACCTTCGTTTTTGTCGTCCCAAGTACTCAAGTATTCGGCGAGACACACTGCTTTACGATATATGCAACAACGCCAACTGTCGTTCAATGTAGAAAACTACAGAGTTGTTCATTGAAGACATGCACTAAAACAAAATAATATTACTTTTACTATTCACCACTAGAGGGAGTTACATGAAAATAAAGAGAGAAGTGAAAAATATATATTGTAAAATATAATATTTATTCAAATAGTTTTCTATAACTGGTCATTTAATTAATCAATTCGTATCTATAACACTGGGCGACAAAATTCAATTTTTTTCAATACTAACATGGAAAATCCAGCATATTATGAAAATAGAGCTAAAAATAGAAGACACGGTGTAACGGTGTTTTGAAAGTTTATATCGCAAAATAATCAATATAGAGGGGAAAAGTTCTCCCATTCCATACTTTTGGAAATTTTCGGATTCAGATTCTTTGGAATTCGAACATAAAGAGATGAGGATTATTTTGGTGGACATTTGTAATCCTCAAGCGAGTTACCAAAGTTATCGACGAACGAAGATATAGCTATAGCTCCCATATATATGTTTCATCCAGTTTGGTGTTTAAGTCCCTCGCATTCGTTATATGTACCCCACAACAATAATATTTGGTATCAGATATCTCATAGATCTCATAAATACCTTTGTCAAATTTTTTGAATATAGGGCCCAAATATACTTTTATCCGACTTCATGTTTATTGTGCACCAAATGACTCTTCCGAAAGAATTTAGAATTTTACAATTATTGTTGGTGTAATATCAGCTCAAATTGGGTAAATTTTTCACATTCAACCGAATTTTTCCATTTGGTGTAACTCGGGTCCGATATATATTTATGCCCTCCACCTTGGAAAGGAGGGTATATTAACTTTGTCATTCCGTTTGTAACATCCTAAATATTCTTCGTAGACCCCATAAAGTATATATATTCATAATCAGCATAAAATTCTAAGTCGATATCCGTCCGTCTGTTAAATTAACGATAAAGTCCACATTATTTGACCTGGAGCTTCAAAATTTAGCAGAACAATTTGTATTGTTTCTAGGATGGTTAGTAATTAAAATGAGATATATCGGACGTTTCGGAATAGTCTCCATATACATATTTGTATTTGTAGGTCATAATGGGTTCTAGCTCTGGTGGCGAAAAATTGTATGTATAGGTCCACGTTTTAGTATATCCCCCATTAAACGATACTTCCCGATATTCGGTAATTTCATGATTTTTGCTACTTTTTTCGGGGATTTGTCTAAAAATTGTTGTTTGTGGGTCATAACAGGTCCTATAGCGCACATATAACGTAACCCACCGATATTCCGTATTTTCATAATCCTAGTCACACTTATCCATGAAATTGTTTCAAATTTGATATTTTAGAAGATTTGGTAGATGACAATCCTTGAAGTATAAAATTGTCTACAGAGGTTCCTGTTTTGGTATAACGGCCTCAAACACTTTATGGTTTTTCGACGAAATTGTTTCTAATTTCGTATTTGAAGATCTTAATGAATACTACGTCCTATGACAAAAAACTACTTATGCAGATTTAAGTCTTCATATAGCCCCCGTATAATGCTTTCATTTCATTTAATTTAAGCAGTATTTTTCGGATTTTTATTTTTCCTTCCAGTTCTTTCTTTTACCAGTGTTTTCGTGGATTTTTGAGGATATTTCTTAGAATAATTATTACTGTACCTTAAGTATCTTAACTATACTTTTTAAATAATATATTTGAGAGGTTCTTAAATTGTGGATTTTATAAGATAATAATTTTGAAAGACTAGTGGAGGTATGTATAATCTTCAATTTTTGAAAAATATTTTTGCAATAATGGACATAATATTGGATTTTTTAAAAATGCATATTTTTCGGGACTATAAGAGTTAATTTTGTGAATTATTATGATTTTTTCTTACTTCAATTAAAATACGTTTTCTTTAGAATACTCCTCGATAGATTTTATTCAAAATATCAAAAAATATATCCTGAGGCACTCCATTAGACAATTGTTTTATAAGGGTTTTGGTTTTTTCGTAAGATTCTTTTTCGTAGGCAGTATATATACTAGGGAGATCCAAAGCTTTGTATAAATCTTTAACCTTCTGGACCTTAAGGGGATCTGGAAAAAAAGATTTATTATTATAAATTATAATACAATCGGTCTATGTTCATAATACCTTTAGAACCATAACATTCCAACATTATTTGTTTCTGTTCCTCATTAGCCAGTTCCATGCATGTCACGGCTAGCCAGGAAAATTTTTTATCCTCTATATCTGTGCCAATTTTACCACAATTCTCGATGGTGCCAAAACAATCCAGGAAATCATTTTGTATTTGAAAATATAAACCAATTTGGTAGAAGATGTCCAAGCACTGCGTCAAAATTTGGGGATCTGTAAAACTAAAGAGATTTCCTTGATAAAAATTCAATTTTTTATAACTCCCCACTTACCAAGCTAAATTCATGGATAACGTGAATGGTAAATAGAAATTATAATACGATCCCTTATTGACAGCCATCATATTGTAGGTTTCACGTTTAAATTCTTCCACGGATTTTCTCGTATACATAAATTCCAAATGTTTCCCACATGCCGATCTCAACGAAACTTCACGAAATAGTTCAATCAAATTCGTATAACACTCCAAATGTGAAAAATGTTTTTTGAGTAATGCATAGACAATTTGTTCCAAAATGAAGGCATCTGTTATGGCCAGGATTCCAACATTTTCCAAACGAGGCCAACTGGTTAGACCACGTCTCATATTTCCTTTGTCCAGGACATCATCAGATATTAGAATTGCAACATTGAATATTTCTGCACACCATGCTAAGATGTAGGCATATTTGATATTTGAGTATTTAAGGTTGAGAGACTTTATGAGTTCTTTATAGGTACGAATGCAGAGCTGGGCAATTTTCATATTGGCATTTTGAATATTGTATTCTATGGCCTAGAAAGCAATAAGATAATTTTATAATTTTGAATACAATTTTATTTAAAAGTCTTTTACCTTTTTTATCCACAGGAATGTTTCGGGTTGCCCATATCCTTCAATGATATTTTTTAAATCTTCCAGAATCTCTAAAAATGATATAATTTGTATTCGTTTTGACTATTTGATTTACTTTGGTGTCTTATCAAATAGAAATTCAATGCAACCCTTGTGCGGGGAGCATACCGATTTCTTGAAGTTTTGAACTTGGGTAACTATTAGAAATTGTATAACTCTTTTGTTCGTATTTCTTTTTTTTTCAAAGCAAAGCATATAAGAGGCTAGAGTCTCATTTGAACGGAATATCGAACATACCACGATATGTGTTTCTGGACCTTTCGGGCACAGTTAGGAAGACGAACATAACTATTTTTGTACTTTAAATATTTTTGAAAAAATATAAAAGGTGATTTTTTTAAATGCCAAAAATAAAGAAGAAAAACTCTAATATAAACGCGATTTTTTAAATATTTTATGCTACTGCCCACTACTTCGCCAGCGAAAAATCCACCTTAAAATTTTAGGTTCTTTCCAACAGTTCTGGTGGTTCAATTTCAAAAAAAAAATATTCACAACTTCATACATCGATCAAAATTGTTCGGCTTTCAAAGCTTTATATATTATTCGAGTATTTTCTTTTTTCGGAAAGAATAATAGGAAAATATTTGCCTTTTCCACCAAAAAGGCTTACAAATCCTTAATTTTGAAGTTAACGAGGAGGATATTAGTAAAACCATTAAACAATGGACCTACATCCAATTTTTCCATCCAAAACTTTTTCAACGTTTCCATATCATCAACCAATGCCAAATTTAGTAACATCCATCCTAGACAGCAACAGTGATCCAAAATTAGTACCACTTAGTACTTTTCGAAAAATTACAGAACGCATTTGCAAAGCCACCATCAGATTTCAATACTAAATACTAACAGAGACCTCAATATCAATTCCAGCTCTATACTCAATAAACAAATGTAGTACCACTAAGTACTTTTTAAACAATTATAGCAATCATTCAAAAACATATCTTCATAATTTCCAGAGAATTCTCCATAATTAACATAGAGCTCAATATCTTATTACGGGGTTCCAGCTACTTTCCTTTACCCAATATCGAATTTTGTTCCTTAAAAAATAATTTTTTTAAATATATTCTCTTGTTTTTTTCTCTAAAATCGTGGTTTTCTTAAAATATTCATTCGAAATATATTCATTATTTTCTAAAATATTTTTAAATATAAATTTAAAATATTTTTAAAAATATAACCGTGGAATTCACATGTAGTACCATTTAGTACTTTTCGTACATGTTAATTTACGAATTTCCACCTTCTTATCTAAAGCACAGGTACAGTGATCCCCATACAAATATTAACAATTCTACCTTTTTTCCCACACTCTAAATCAAATTTAGTACCATTTAGTACTTCTCGTATACGTTAAAGTAGGATTTGAAAAATTCGACTCCATATTCAAAAAAAAAAAAAAAAAAAAAAAAAAAAAAAAAAAACTGTAAGTTCGCCCTACCCGAACTTTGAATATCATTCACCATTTGGAACGAATTTTCAAAAAAAAAAAAAAAAAAAATAGAATCCGTTGAAAATTCTGTTAAAATCTTAAATGGTCTATCGGTTAATTAAGGTAGCTAAAATCATCAAAATACCGAATATGGGGCTATACCAAAACGTGGACCTGCAGACAATTTTCTGTCATAGGCTGTAGCATCCATTACGAACTTCAAATATCAAATTTGAAACAATTCCGGTGAATAATGTCGCTAAAATCATCAAAATACCGAGTACCGTTATATGGGGGCCATACCAAAACGTTGACCTACATGGCCCATTTTGAATATGAAAAGTCCTGCAGACATGATATACATATGAGTAAAGTTTTATCAATCTACTTCAATTCGTTCGGAAGCTATAGTGATTTCCACAGATGGATAGACGGACGGAAATCTAAATCGATATAGAATTTTATGCTGATCAAGAGTATCTATACTTTATGGGGTCTAAAATGTATTTTTCGAGGTGTTACAAACGGAATGACAAACTTAATATACCCTCCATACTAGGGTGGAGGGTATAAAAACATTAGTACATAAATCCTTCATCCCATCAGCGACCCTAATTTTATATTTCAGAATTCTAGCTCCGTTGTACCAATAAAATTTATTTAATTTTCTGTACCTTTTAGTACACTTATAGTTAGAATTTCCAAAAGCCCAGCCGTATCTCTAACATTGGCCTACATGTAAAATTTCAAGATCCTAGCTTCAGTTGTTTTGCCTGGGCGTGGATAAATCAGTCGCTTGTTACTAAGCTCTTGTATATTTTCAGAAGATGGCTTTCACAGAGGCATTTGTTCTTAAAGATAAATCTATTCTAATTCTTCCCAAAAATAATTCGTTTTAAACTGCTTCTTAAGAAATTTTTTTTCCATAATTAAGGGACGTTTTCTCAAAAATAAGACTTCTTTTCTTCCTTTTCTCTGCTTCCTTTCTTTTACGTCCTCTCTCTGCTTCCTTCGTTTCTAGACCATCTCGAATATAATCCTTTTGTTCTTACATCTTCTACCAGATGCTAATCTAGTCATTCCCAAATGAAGACCATCCTGACTCTTCTTTGAAAATAATACCTTGTCCTTCTACAAGAAAAAATAAGGATGACCTATTGATGCATTCGAAATAAAAACCAATATGTTCTTCCAAAACAAGATATTTTCGAACTTCTCTATAAGATTTTCCTTTCCTCTTTTATGTTTGCAGATTTTTTTTCCGAAAGTATTTCAGACTATTCTGAAGGAATGTTTCCGGATCTTCTTTTATCTTCGTAAAAGCAAGAAAATAAGTCATCTTATAAAAATATGTTATTCTCGTTTTTCGTTGAATATAATGAAATCATCAGATCTTTTGTTCATCAACAAAAAAAAAAAAAAAAGATCTTCTCATTTTCTTAAAAAAAGATTTGAAGAAAATGACATATCTATCATTTTAGCACAACTTTTTCGGATCTTCTTTCCAAAAAAAAATCCTGCTTTCTCTAAAATGCTTTTTTGCCTTTTGTAAGAAAATGTTCTTGACTTCTCTAAAAATATCATTAGGTCTCGGAAAATTTAGCCTTTCAGGAGACCAAAAGAAGGTCTCCCGATCTTTACTAAAAGAACATTCTCTGTTCCCCTCTAATTCTACTGAAATCTTTAAAATTAAATCTGTAACTATAATTTTGCTCTTGCCCAAACATACCTTCAGTTCTTTTAAAAAAAGACCTCTCTGAAATTTCTGAAGGAGCACAATTAGGTCTTCTAACTTCACTAAAAATAGACTTTGTCTTTTCTAAAGGATTTGTTGAAAATAACTTCTGTTATTTATTGTTGATAGAAGAGAACTTCTAAAGGAAGGCCTTCTAATCACAATCATCCACATTTTAGGTATTTTAACTTCTTTAGGCAATTCTTTAACCGATTTTGATATAATATAAAATTTCCTATTCATGTAGAGTATAAAATATCCGATCTAATTATCTTACTTGCTAGTACATGAACTCAAAATACATACCTGGCAAAATAGAACGAAATTCTTCACAAGACATTTTCCGCTGATAGTTTGAGTAGTAGTACAAAATTCTGAAAATTAAAAAAAATATATATTTATTTCAATTTGAAATTTGAGATCAGTCAAGTCGAATGTACAACCTTCTTTGTTTGCTTTTTATAAAAATAGTTATTTTATTTATTTTTATTATTTATTCATTTGGAGAACTTTCTGTTTATTCTCAATAGAGCAGGTGGCACAGAGTACTTCAGCTTTTCAAGCAAAACTAAATCTAAATGAAATTTTCGCATCAAACTAAACGTGTCGATGGTAAACTTTGAAAAGACTAAGCGATTGAACTCAGAACAAAATATTATTTATATGAATTTATTTATACGGGTTGTTGAAAACAGGCAAGCCGGTAATAATACAATATAAACTTTATAAATAGTTGACGTTGTGCTCAAGTGTTCCAGATGCAAAATTGGGGATCTGATTGATACAAGAGAGCATCAGTATGTTCTTTTGATCTTTTGGTGAGACTTTCCATATTGAGGCTAGATTTTGAGATACCCAGTTTAAAAGTTGTAAATAAAAAGATTTATTTAAAAAATACATTTCGAAAATCAGAATTCATATTTTTTGGTGATTCAAACTTAAGCTACAACAAAGTCAAATGCCATAATTTTTTTCATTTTTTTAATTTTATTGGATGAAAGCAAAACATGTCGGAAATAGTATCAAATTTTAAAATAAGTCTAGATTTGTTCGAATTGGTCACTTTTGGCATGAATACTCTAATTTACAACACAAATCACAAATATGAACCAATTTTTTAATAATTGCACATGCAAACTTGTCAATGCGTCTTTCTGATATCATGCAAATTGCATATGGAACACTTAGGCATATCATCAACAAAGCGGTATTTCGATTCGATTCACGTGCTCCAGCTTTACATTGTTATCATTAAAAAATGAATAAAAAGTTAATGGTTATACACGAGTGAAATTTCATACCTTGAAAACCCCTATTAATCGAATTCAAAGCTTTAATTGCTATATTCAATAAATACTGTGTTCCAGAACCTGTGGGAATGTAAAAATGTTATTATGATAACCGGTTGTGGAGCACAACACCTCTCTGCAGAAAATGTTACTTTTCTGCCTTCTAAGCTATTTCAACGACAATAATTATTGTGCAATGCAAAAAATAATTACGGGGAACATCGAGTAGATTATGAAAGTAGAGCTAAGAGAAGCAGACACGTGCATCGGCATGTTGAAAGTTTACATCGCAAAGTAACAGAAATAGAGGGGACAGATCCAGCTTCTTCCTAACTTTTGAATATTTTCATAATATAACAGTACCTTCTGATTGTCGGTGTTTTGATAATTTTTGTCATATTTATACCCTACACCACAAGGTGGTCAGGGTATTATGTCTTTGTGCATTTGTTTATAACAGGTAATAGGAAACGAGATAGACCCATAGTTCCTTTTGATGATCAGGATAGAATCACATTCTGAGTCGATTTATGCATGTCCGTCCGTCCGTCTGTCCGTCTGTCCATGTATTTTTGTAAACAAAGTACAGGTCGCATTTATTACCCGATCCAGATGAAATTTTGCACAAATCATTTGTTTGGCCCAAGGACGAACCCTATTGAAATTGGAAATAATCGGACAAAATTTAGATATAGCTCTCATATATATCTTCGTCCGATTTGCCTTTTATTGTGCACCAAACGTGTAATATCAGCCCGAATAGTATGGAATTTTGCTCATACAACCAAATTAGGCCTGAAAATAAGTATGCTAAATTTGATCGAAATCGGTTCAGATATAGCTATAGCTCCTATATATATTGTTCATCCGATTTGTTATTTTTGTCCTCCGCAGCCGTAATATGCTCTCTGTAACAATAATATTTGGGGAAATCTATCAAATACAGCTCAGAAATACGTTTGCTAAATTTTATCGAGATCGGTTCAGATTTGGATATATCAAATTTGAAAATCGGTTCAGATATAGCTATAGCTCCCATATACACTGTTCATCCACAGGCGCAACACTGTTGTTGTATTTGTTACCCACAGCCGTAATATGCACTACGTAACATCGATATTCAGGTAAATATATCAAATACAGCCCAGAAATATCTTTGCCAAATTTTATCGAGATCGGTTCCGATTTGGATATAGCTCCCATATATATTTTTATCCGATTTCAAATTAATTGTGCACCAAATGGGCAATACAAGTCCGAATTTAAAAGGTACAAAGGCTTCGGCATATTTAGTCCTTTGAACTTTAAATTATAATTATAATCATAGCGTGTATGACTAAATTCTCCCATAAAAACGTTTAGTAGATATACGGAGCTCTACTAAATTAGCAAAGTGGTGTAGGGTATCATAAAGTCGGCCCCGCCCGACTTTAAGACTTTCTTTACTGGTTTTTAAGTTGCGCATTTGCATATTGTAATAGCTTTTTGCAAATATTGCCTATGCAGGTCCACGTCGTCGTATAGACCCTGATATACGGCTACATTCGGTATTTTTAAGATTTTGATAGAATTTTTAACGGATTTTATTTTTTTTTTTTGAAAATTACCAAATTTGTACCAAATTGTGGAGGGTATTAAAAGTTCGGCCTTGTTTTTATTAGTTTTTAATATATCTGTTCAATTGCATCAGCGTACAAGTCGGTGAACCTTAACAAATGCTCTTTTTCGTTTTATGATCCATATCAAACTAAACACCATATAAAGTCAACACATGTGTTATTTTATCTTGCAAAACATATGTGTTATTGCCACTTAATATATTTTTGTTTAACCACACTTTATGTGTTCTCGTGGTGACCTCTCTAATGTGGCTCAAAAGTAGCTTCGCCAAAGAATCGCAATCTAACATAAAAGTCACCTTAATCAAGTCATTTTGTCCTCCAGCTATCCAATTACCAATGACAATACATGAATATATTGTCATCTAATGTTGCCACTTAATAAATTTCTTCACTCATTCTTATGAGGCTACCCCTTCCCCAGAAAAGTATTTCGATGGGTTGCTGCCTCGCTTTTTTTTGGCGATTTATTATGGTGCAGTCGAAATTTGACACATTTTTCATTGGCTGACAGGACAAAAAACCGCAGGCGCAACAACAAAAACAAAACTGAATTAATGAAACAGCAACCGTATCGAGACAACAACTAGGAGCAATGTCGTCAACACCACCACACTTTAGTGTGGTGATACACACGCGGTGTGTTGAGAAGAGAACACCTTAAGGATATTCCATCGCTTCTTTTTTATTTGTGTAGCAGGTGGTTTGCGAGTGTTATCGGAATTACTGCTCCGCTCTGGCAACAATAAAACATAACCATTATTAACAGGGACCACATCGTCTTAGCTCTTCTTCCATTTGTTTGCTACATTCGAATACCAAACAAATACGAACGAATGAGTGAATGAATGAACGTTGGTGCAACATGGTTTTAGATAACAATATGTCCATTCGTAAATTGAGGAATTTCAATGTTAGTTTGTTCGGGGCTTAGCCAAAGTCATCTTGGGCTCCTGCATAGAGATAGAAGTAAGTGGAAGAACAGCTGTAATGCCTTTGTGTCCATGTTAATATTTGCCAGCGCGGCGAGACATCATCGACATCATGGTTCTATTACATGGCGGCAAGTACTCCATGGATGATAACAATTTTCTGATAAAATAGTTTAATTATGTTCTTATTTTTCTTCTGGTGTTCCGAAATAGGTTTCGTTTTTTATTTCCTTAGGAGCATAAGTAAATGTTTGTTATGTTGCAATAAATATTTGCTGTTGGCGGTAGCATGTAAATAATAAACATTACGTTATGTTCACATTGTTTGCTGGGTTGTGGGTAAAATACATCAACCATAACACACTAGTTTCTATTTTAAGATGTTTCAGTAAATTTCCGGTCAGATTGTTTTTTTGGTTTCTAAACTTTATATTAAAGGAATTTTTTTTTAAAAAAGGTATGTCCTTGTGGAATTTAACCACATTTTAGAATCTACATTTTTTATAGAACTAATTTGTTTGAAGAGAAATGGTTTTAGTTCCACCATGCGGAACTTAACTTATGATTAGGGCTATCCTATAAATCCTTCAAAATTTTAAGATTCGTTATATGAAAACCATACTTATTTTAATAATTTTTTAAACAAGTAAAAAGGTATCGGCCGGTTTTGCCGACAGATGTATACCCTCAGCCAATGCTCAATTATTTTAAAATATATTGACTTCTGTTATGAATTTTCAAACTCTTGACCCTCAATGGAGTGGGTTTTGAAAGTATGGGTCAATATAATTAAATATGATATAAATATTATTATAACTATATAAGAAAATCGAACATTTATAACCGATTAATGGGAAATCTTAAATTCCGTTTTCATCTCAGGATTCTGGTTGAAAGACATATATAGATATAAAATCGCTGAGTTGTTTCGCAATTTATGACAGATAAAAATATTGGAAATTGTGTCCCTTTGTGGGTAAGGTAACAGAAGAGGTTCGCAGATATGTAGCATTTTCACAACAGATCTTGTGTTAGCAAAAATGTTTGTATGAGTGAAATTTTGTAGAGAGTTGGATGCTTATTTCGATTTTTTTAAGCGTTTTGTTTTCCAAAATCTTGAACCCTATGTGGAGCAGGTAGCAAAAGAAATGGTCCGATTTTTACGACCTTTATAACAAATCTTGTGTTGATGGAAATATTGAGATGTACCATGTCTGGAATGTTGATTTCCTTTTATATGAGCTTCATGGATATTCAAATTTCGACCATTTGTGGAGGAGGTACCAAAAGAAGTTGATCGATATATTCCATCTTAACACCAGACCTTGGGTTGATAAAAAATATTGGGATGTGTGAAATTTGAAGACAATCGGACTCTTACATCACATTTTATGAGAGTTGTAATTATTCAAAATTGTGACCGTTTGTGGGGGAGGTACTTGATGGAGGGCACTGATATTGTCCATTTTCACACCTGACATAGGATTTGCATAGTTGGAGCAAAATCGGATTATCGTTTCTCTTTCTGTGCAAAAAATATATTTTTTGAAAATTTCGACCTTTTTGGGGGAGGTACCAGAGGGAGTGGGCCGATATTGCCCATCTCCGAACTCGATCTAAGTTTGACAAAAATATTACGATGTACCAAGTTTGGACCAAATCGGATACTCCCTTCGAGTGTTATCGTTCACCCCAGCCAGACAGACAGACGGACGGAAGGACGGACATCGCTAGATCGACTCCAAATATCCTAAAACGGATTTGGTCCAAAGATACCTGGCGTCTAAAACCGTTAT